GAGGATTCCCAGAGCAAGGGGCTTAGCTGTCTCTCCCTCCCGCTTCAGGTCAGCAGTTCACATTCTACTAGTTCACAGAGCCAGGCTCAACAATTTTCCTTTAGTCAACAAGAACCTTCAATATACAACAAACTCCATCTGTTATCTCTGGGATCCAGTTCATTTTCTTTTCTTTGGTGAATATCTTTCAAGCAGTGACAATTATTGGTATTTGTGACACACTAGATTAAGGGTGCTGCTTTAGGAACTAGACTGCATGGGTTTGAATATTGCCACTTCTGTTTAAGAGCTTCAAGTTCTTTGGCAAATTTCTTAACCTTTCGATGCCACAGGTTACTTGTTTGTAATTTGGGATAGTAAGAGAAACTACCTCATGAACTTTTTTTTTTTTTTTTAAAGAGGCATGTATTTTTTTTTAATTTATTTGTTTGTTTTGTTTATTTATACATGCACTGGGTACAGTCAGAAGTGCGGGAGGGTGAGAGAATTCACCAGAGCCAGAGCGGGGAGCAGAGCAGGCAGAAGGACCGAAGTACACTGCTGAGGGGAGCAGCGGGCGGCAGGAGAGGTCTGCGTGCCATGTGGGACCCTCCTCTGGTGGCCGGGGAGCAGCCGGGGATCGAACCGGTGCTGCAGAGGCTGCGGGCACCTTCGCAACCCAGTGCTCAACTGCTGTGCCACCGGGGAAGCCCTGCCTCATGAGCTTGTTTTTTTTTTTTTTTTAATAGAGGCATGTTTTATTTATTTATTTGTTTGTTTGTTTGTTTTGTTTATACATGCACTGGGTACAGTCAGAAGCGCGGGAGGGTGAGAGAATTCACCAGAGCCAGAGTGGGGAGCAGAGCAGGCAGAAGGACCGAAGTACACTGCTGAGGGGAGCAGCGGGTGGCAGGAGAGGTCTGCGCGCCATGAGGGACCCTCCTCCGGTGGCCGGGGAGCAGCCGGGGATCAAACTGTCGCCGCAGAGGCCGCGGGCAGCTTCGCAACCCAGCGCTCAACCGCTGCACCACCGGGGAGGCCCTGCCTCATGAGCTTTTATGAGGATCAGATGAGGTGGTACATGCTGGGTGTACAGCATCATGCTTGGCAGTCGATATTAGTCTTCTATGAGGTTGCAGTGAGGCCTCCATCAAAGAAAAGGGAGATAAATGATCTTTTGAGGGTCCAACTAGATCCCAGAAGGTATGGGCAGAATCTGAGAGAGACAGCTTGCTCCCAAGTCTCTGAGCTTTGACTACTTTGATTGAATATTTTAACGCATTTAACGACAAGAGATGTCAACCCACCACGAGGGCGTGGTCACCATAGAAACTAAGAAAAAGTAGAGGCCACAAGACAAAGGTGGGCAATGTCTGTGTGAGATTGTCCTGGCTGGTGGTGCTGCCAGGCATTTTAACTCACCATCAACTACTCCTCCTGCGGGGACGGCTGTCCCAGGCAGTCTTGACAATGGCTGCCTTTCACTTGCCCAGCTCCTCTCTGTCCTGATCCAGGTTCACAAAATACCTTTCCACAGCCAGTGGGCTTCCCTCCCAGATCCATCCTGAGAGAATGGCTTCCTGCACCAATCACCTGGTTGTAACGAACCATTCTCTTTGTGTCTACCCTAACCAGAGGTCAGACCATGGGCCACATTCAGACTCTAAGTGAATAGTCGCTGCTGGGCTGAAAAGCCTCCCGGAAGACAGCTGTCAGCCCCTTTCTTGCTTTGAACGTCTGTAGACAGGAGTCTTTTTCTGTTTGCTGACACAGACAAAGGGACAGCTCCTCGGTCTAAGAAGGGGCGGCCTCCCACATGCTGTGTGCATTGCTGACGCAGGCATTGGCCGCCTTGAACAGGATCATCTCCACCTGGAACCAATGTCCCCAGGCGGCTCCTCTTCTGCCCTGCAAATAAGTGCTGCTGAGCCTGGCAGTTGCCACCATAGACTCAAATGCTTTGTAAGGGTTGATATAGGGGGCAGAACAAGCCACGTCAAGCCTGGTTGTCCTATAATAATAGTGATTGGCACTATGGCTTTGACTTCAACTGTGCCTCCAAATAAAAGGCAACCTTAGTGACAGGAAGGAGTGGATTTTTTTTTTTTTTTTAATATGACAGGGTTACCTTGGAGTGGCTTTCAAAATGTCCTGGGTCCTGCAGCCAAAAATTAGGACTTAGTGGTTGAGAAGGAGCCAGAGAAAAGTCCTAGAGCTTTTTTCTCTTCCCCACACTCCAGACTCCTTGTGCTCCAAGCTGTCATTGGTACCACCATTCTGGCCACCAATTCTGCCTTTCTTCCCTGCTCCCGGCAAACACCCATCCTGCAAAACTCAAACTGAACCAAGAGCTCGAAGGAGCCTGGAGGTCATGGCCCAGTGGTCAGGTCTTACCCTCCAAGGCCCCTTCTATTCCTTCACTCCATGGGCCCCTTGTTATGAAAGTTATAACTCCCAAATGAACAGCATTTAACAAATCATAATGAGTTAATTAACCACTTTTATAATTGCCAAACTGAATTTTTGATTGGCAAATAACCATTCTGACTTCATGTAATTTCAGTCCAAAAGCAAAGAAACAATGTTCTTGGCAGGCTGGGGCAGCCAAATCTCTGGTGACCGTGCCATTCTAGGTGGCCTTTTGGCGGAAAGAGCCAGAGACCTGGAGACTGTTTTTGAGGTTCTCTGGAGGCCTGTGGGGCCTCTACTGAAAACCCCAAAATCTAATCCTAAAGCTCACCTTTCAAATGACTTTCTTTACTGGTCATGCTGGGACAAAGGACAGGTAGCTGAGAGTGATTGCATCTCTACCCGTGCAGGACTTTGTGCGAGGCCCTCTCACACACGTCCCTCTGGGAACGCTGCTCACTTTCATGACAGGTGGTGCTCTCATGTCATCTTATATATGAGGAAACATACAAGGGTAAGGAACCTCCTCAAAGGCATTTAACTAGAAGGTGGCAGAGTTTAGACACTGACCCAGGGTTTTTGGTTTTGCTTTCATAGCTTTATTGAGATATAATTCACATATAGTGCCACTCACCATCGTGTCCTGTTTGATGTTCATGGAGGGGTACCCCTCACCAAAAATCCATTTTAGAAAAAGTATAGTGCCCCACAAAGAAACCCTATTAGAAGTCATTCCCATTTCCTCCTACTTTTTTTCCAACCCTTGGTAACCACTAATCTACTTTCTGTCTCTGTGGATGGAATCACCTAATCTGAACATTTCAAATAAACTGACCCAGATGTTTAGACTCTAAAAATCCACATTGATCTCTAGTTCAGAACACATTACAAGTCCTTTCGTAATTGTATAGATTGATTCTTATTTAACTTTGAAAATACCCACAAAGCACAAATGCCACATCCTTCCTGTTTGAAGCACACAAAAATGCAAATATTATTCTGTATCAGGGTAAAAAATGGCATGCAATTATTTGGCTGTCATATCCTTGACTTTGAACGGTCACACTTCTCCTCCTCACAAACCACTAGGCCTGACACCCACCAGCGCTCTGTGAGAAGAGGTGTCTCTCTTCATAAGACTGCTCATGATTTGGTTTTTGAGCTGGGGTCACCATAACTGCCTGTAGGGCGGCCTCTCTCTAGGTCGCCTGGGTGCTGGCCTGCTGATATGAGGTCTCATTTCTACCTGCGAGGCCTGTCTGGGTTTTTGTCTCTCCCGTTCTGTTCTCCTTAACCTTCCCTTCCCTGCAAATTGCTGTCGGCAGCATGATTTATTCTCCTGTCACACACGGTGGGGATGTTTAACACCCATGTCTAATAGTTTTCCATATAGAATTCCCCTCTTGTCAGTTGCTTTGTCTCTTGGGTTCAGGGTCTGTTTTCCCAGGTGATTAATTATTCCTGCTGGATTTGTCCTTTGGTATCTCAGGGGTCTGTTCTGAAAGTCTGCTTGAGTGCACGTGTTTGGTTTTTGTCTTGGGTGTCAGAAAATGGCTCACATTCTGCAGGGAAGATGGTTCATAAGGACATGGCTGGGCCTCCTAGAAGCCGGTGTTCCCCAAGTGGTGACCACCCCTCCCTCCCTCCTTCCCTCTCTCCCTCCCCACCTGTCTGTCTCCCTCCTTCTCCTCTTTCTTGCATTGGTTGGTTGTTGTGGGACATGCTCAGCTCTCAGACTCCATGGGGGTGTGAGACACAGACTCACTCCCTATATCGCGTGCTCTCCACCTCTGCTTCTCATTTGAGTAACAAATACACGTGGGGTACCAGTTGCAGGTCTGCTCTGGGATTTATGAAGCTTTTAGATAATATTGGGGTCTCTTTCCAGAGCGTCAGATTTACTGAATATTTCAGGAGGGAATTTTTACATTAAATCAAGGACTGATGGAGTATGGTGAAGAAGAGAAAATCAGCATGATTTTTAAAGACTGCAAAGACATTTTTGGGCTTGTGGGGAACTTCATGGACTTCTCCTGTCCCCCCACTCTCCATCAGAGACACATCAGACAAACAGAAGCCCAGCCTCGGGTAGACATTCACAGCTACTTTGACAGGCGTACAGGGCTGTAGGTCCAGATGAAGGAACTTCTTGATTCTGCTTCTCTTATTACTTAATTTGGAAAATCAGTAGGCAGTTCTCTTCAACAGGACATTTTTCATGGGGTCTCCTTCATAGGAATCTGGCTGCAATTTCCCACCTGGACTTAGGTCACTCACTTAACCCCCTTGAAACTCCACAGGGAGCCAGATAGGTAAATCTTCACGGGGGGGGGGGGGGGGGGGGGGGGGGGGGGGGGCCTGGAATATAAAAGCTCTTTTGTTACACCATGCTGGGCTCTTTTTCCTGTGTGGGAGAGGAGAAGGAGCTTAGATTACCATTCTAGGAAAGGCAGCTATAATGGTGTGTAGCTGGCACCTGATCTGCCAATGCCCGTGACAACTGGTGTGTAGAAATCTTGAAAATCACGGCTAACACCAAGTAGTCTTTATGACTCGATGACATGACTGTAAGTGCCTGCCTATTTCTCATGATTGTTTCTGTCTCCTCTCAGCTGATCAGGTCTAGTTCCGGACAGCGATGGTCCACCCCTCCCACTACAGCCGACGGGCCAGCCAGTGACACCCCAGTTCAGCACGTGAGTTCACTAACTGAGATCTGGGCGTGTTCCCGAAACTTCCTGCACAATTTCTTTATCTGTGACAGGTGGCCACTACCAGTTCATGCTTCACAGGCTGTTATGAAATTTTATGAAATGATGGACTTACTTGGCACATTTGGGAGTTTCAGTCAAGATTTCCTGTTAGTTCAATAACTGTGTACTGAATACACACATGGTTGATGGCTTTTCGTCCCCAAGGAACACCTTTGTTATGTTACTTACGTGTGCTCCGGTTTAGGAACTAATGCCCTAACAAGAGAAAGGGGCATTTATCAGGATGGAGTTATCTAGCTTTTAAAAATTTCACTCATGGGGCCTCCCCTGGTGGCGCAGGCGGTTGAGTGCGGCGCTGTGAAGCTGCCCGCAGCCTCTGCAGTACTGGTTCGATCCCCGGCCCCCAGGCGAGGGTCCCACATGGCACGCAGACCTCTCCTGTCTCACCTGCTGCTCCCCTCTGCAGCGTTTTTCGGTCATCTGCCTGTTCTGTTCCCCGCTCTGTCTCTGGTGAATCCTCTCACCCTCCCGTGTACCCCAGTTCTTGTATAAATAAAATAAATCTTTAAAAAAAATTCAGCTCAATTTTAGAAAAGGCCTGAAGATCCTGGATTTCTTCTTTAGGATTTTCAAATTTCATTTCTGCCCTTTTCTTTTGGTATTTTGTTTCTTTCTGCCTCTCAGTGTGTGTGTGTGTGTGTGTCTACTTGAAGATACACCATATTTGCTTAATTTCTTAAATTTGTGAAAGACTTAAGAATTATTAATAATAAAAAGGACCGACATCCCGGGATCTCAGCGCATTTCACTGGGACACAATTAGAAGCTCCATCAAGTCCAATTTACTTTAAGACATCATGGTTCTGGTAGCTTATATACCTAACAAGATTTCCTCCCTAACTCTAGAAGGTATTTCAATCTGGTGTTTATATTGTCCCTGTCCCTGTAGGTAATTATAAATGCATGTCATTATTTCTCTTTTGGCTCTAAGACACACTTGGCAAGTGGATTAGTTCACATAGTTTGCTACTCTATACCTTGAGATAAAGAAAAAAAAAAAAAAAGCCTTGCTTGTAACAATAAGATCACTTCCCCTTCCCTAAGAAGGTCTGTAAGTTTTTCAGCTCTTATTTCACTCCTTTGTCATTTGGGCACATCTTTCTTAATGGAAGACTCTACCTTTATCTGTTTTCTTTTTTTAAAAAAAATACTTATTTTATTTATTTATATAAGCACTGGGTACAGTCAGAAGCGCGGGAGGGTGAGAGAATTCACCAGAGCCAGAGCGGGGAACAGAACAGGCAGACTGACAAAATACACTGCTGAGGGGAGCAGCAGGCAGCAGGAGAGGTCTGTCACGCCATGTGGGACCCTTGCTGGTGGCCGGGGATATAGCCAGCGCTGCAGAGGCTGCAGGCAGCTTTGCAGCCCAGCGCTCAACTGCTGCGCCACCAGGGGAGGCCCTACCTTTATCTGTTTTCAACTACATTTTATCTCTCCTAAGAGGTTAAGAGATTTAAAGCCAAACTCCCTCCAGCGTTAAGAGGCCACCTGAGCTGTTATTATATCTGGATTTGAATATCTCTTTCATAAGAGAAGTGTGATCAAGGCTGACTAATTCAATGGCTTTGGAACACTGTTCGCCATGTAAGTTTTCTACTAGCTCGACACAGGCTTGGATAATTGATTCTTTAGGTTTAGATGTAGAGTTTCAAATTTCTTTTTAAAGCGAATGGAACCCAATATGGATCTTCAAAGAATTACTTTCCTTGCTCATAGGCTAGATGACATCACTTCAATGGTGATTTTTTTTTATACACCTCTACCAACTCAGTCTTATAATCAGGATATAAATCACAGGACATTGGAGGTAAAAGGAGATTAAAGATCATCTAGATTCAATCTCTCACTTTCCAGACTAGGAAACTCCTAGAAGTGAGGTGATTTGGTCAAAGTTACAACACATTAGTTCTTAAAATTTTTGATTAAAGTCACACTTTGGAGTCACTTGCATGATATCCAAGGCAATCACAGCAAGTGAATTTTGTGTGGATGGTGGATGTCAGAGGGAACCAGAAGTTACCAGCCAGGAGTGGAGTGCAAATAGGAGACACAGGTATGGGAATTCATAAGAGTTGGTCAAGGGCCAAGGAGAAGAATTATGAAAACAACTTGGGGGATTCGCGAGTCTGTGCTCATAATTACATGAACCCCTTATGGGCTTGTCTCTTAAAAATATTTTATGTGTTTAAAAAAAATCTAATTATGTACATAATTAAGAAAGCAAATAGTGCTAAAAAGATTTATAATACAAAACAGTAGTTCCCTGCACAGCCTGATACCAGCTGTCAGTCTCTTGGCAACGGGAACTGCTTTAAAATTTGAGCTGCTTTTTCGGGTAGTTACCTTCACAACTTTAATAATGTGCATATATTTTAATTTTCAGAGTTATAAATGTTATAGGAGATGAAGATTTAGTATCTCCAAATCGCCTTCCTCATTCGCTTCCCTAAAGTTTTAAAAAAGATTTATTTATTTATGCATACAAGAACTGGGGTGTAGGCCAGATGTGCGGGAAGGGGTGTGTGTGAGGACTCACCAGAGACAGAGCGGGCAACAGAACAGGCAGATCTACTGAAACACTGCTGAGGGGAGCAGCGGGCGAGTCAGGAGAGGTCTGCTGCACCATGTGGATTCCCTGGCCTGCTGGGAATCGAACTCGTGCTGCAGTCACTGGTGAGAGCTTCATAGCACTGTGTTTTTAACCCCTATGCCACCAAGGAGCCCTTCTTCCCTAAAATTTATCATACTTTTAATCATATCAATAATTAGTAGTTGCATCATTGTGACAATATAAATTTGTTCACTGAATTAACAATTGCCTGATGTGTCTTCATTTCAGATGCTCCATCATCTCATCCATATTCTCACTCTTCCTGTTGGGTCCACTCTTTTCCTGGATGCTCCTCCCGAAGCACCCCCTCTTCCTGCTCCCTTGGGTGTTGCTGGCTCTCAGGTCCTGCTACAATTGTCAGCTTGGGATCTTCTCGTAACAGCTTTTCTGGGTTGCATTTGCTGTTCCCAGGCTGCTATGTTTTCCTCTTTCTTGGTGAACTTCTTCGTCTTGCCAACACAGATCCTCCAGTCGCTCTCTAAGAAAGGGGCGTCAATTTTCTGAATCTAAGCATGTCTGAAAATATCTTTATTCTGTTTTCATACTTGATCAACACTTTGACCAGCTGTAACATTCTGGGTGGAAAATGTGTTTTCTTTAATATTTTGAAGTTGTTGCTCCACTGTTTTCTGGCTGTTGGTATTATTGTTGAGAACACTAACACCATTTTGATTCTCATTCTGCTGTGATTTCTTCTCCTGGAAGCTTTTCGAATCATCTCTTTATTTCTGCTGTTGTAAGTGTGCACATCTTGAGAGGTCTTTTTCTTTTGTTTGGTTGTTATACGGTGGACATTTGATAGTTAAGTGTATTGGCACCAGCATCAGATGGCCCAGGTTCAAAGCTATTGGTGACCAGCTCTGATTAAGTTACTATCCCTTTCTGTGCCACTGTCTTTGTCTGTGAAATCATGAAGAACCTCATAACATTGCTGTGAGGATTAAAATAAATCATATAAGAACCCTTTCTGGTGGCATAAGGGGTTAAGCACAGCACTTTGAAGCTATCCTCAGTCTCTGCAGCACAAGTTCTATCCCTGGACGGCCAGGGAGATATCACATGGTGTGGCAGACCACTCCTGACTTGCCCACTGCTCCCCTCAGCAGTGTATTTAAATCAGTCTGCCTGTTCTGCTCCCCACTCTGTCTCTAGTGATCCTCTCACCCCCCACACCTCTGGCCTGTACCCCCGTTCTTGTATGCATAAATATATAAATCTTCTTAAAAAATCGTATAAAACTAACATTCAGAATAGTGCCTGGCACATGGTGGCAACTCACTCTAAGTTTTTTTTTTCCTAAAGGTTTTATTTATTCATGAACTGGGGTACAGTTCATGTGTGGGAGGGTGAGATGATTCACCAGAGACAGAGTGGGGAACAGAATAGGCAGACTGACTGAAATACACTGCTGAGTGGAGCAGAGGCGCTACAGGAGAGGCCTGCCATGCCATGTGGGTATCTCTGTGGCCTGCCCGGATCGAACCCGCACTGCAGACGCTGCGGACAGCTTCACAGCGCTGTGCTCAACCACCTGCGCCACCAGGGAGATCCAACTCACTCTAAGTTTTTGCTGTGTTGATGAAGCTATCATCAGAATTCAGTTCTGTGGAGTCAGCATAGGAGTGTGTTGTATCCAGCGATGTGCCTCCCCCACTTGCTGACTCCTTTTACTGAAGGCCCTTCAAGAACAAGGCACCTGGCACTGGTACCAAGTTCTTCAAGGCTGTTGAGTTCTTTTCTGTCACCACCTGCTGGCTGGCCAGGCCTCAGTGGCAGCTGCTCCGATCTTTCCTGCCACTCACAGGCTTGACTCAACTAGACCCTACCTCCTATCCCATGCCATCTGTCTTTTACCTCCTGACGGAGGGATTCCTTGTTCCCACTGAGGCCTGAGTTTCTGTGAGTCCTCTCAACACTGACATATGCTTGCTTTGCTCCACCTCCAAAGGTTCTAGACAGCAGACATGCCAGCCAGTGGGGGTGCTACTGACCTGTGCCCACTTGCCTGGGTGCTATGCTGTCACTGCTGTCATGGGATCTGGCTTCCTTGCTGGCCCCTGGAAGGACCAGATGGAACAACCAAGAAAAGGGAGGGTTAGACTTCTCCTGGGCACATTTGACCAACAGAAATGGGAGCCAAGAGGTCAATCTACTTCCTCCTGCTTGGATTGTTACAAGGCTGAAAAACACTCAGCTGCACTTGTTATGAATCGCTGGCCAATGGGAACATCCTTTTGTTTTGTTCCTTCTATCCCTGCCTTCTTCCCTCTTTCCCTCGTTCCTGCTTTCCTGGGGTTGTACTCCCCAACGAAGGGTCAACAAATCAACTTTCCTTTGGTTCTGTTTCTTAGAGAGTTCAGACTAACACACATCGAATTTAAGAACTTGAACTCTGGATCTGGACTCTAGGTTTGAATCCTGGTCCTGGCCCGAATGGCCAGAGGGCATTGGCATGTTCCTTAATCCCTTTGAACTTCATTTTTCTCATCTGAAAAAGGGAGATAATAATAATAATAATTACCTCAGGGTTTTTTTTTTTTTAAGATTTATTTTATTTATTTATACAAGCACTGGGTACAGTCAGAATCGCGGGAGGGTGAGAGAATTCACCAGAGCCAGAACGGAGAGCAGAACAGGCAGAAGGACCGAAGTACACTGCTGAGGGGAGCAGCGGGCGGCAGGAGAGGTCTGCGTGCCATGTGGGACCCTCCTCTGGTGGCCGGGGAGCAGCCGGGGATCGAACCGGGCTGCAGAGGCTACGGGTAGCTTCGCAACCCAGCGCTCAACAGCTGTGCCACCGGGGAGGCCCTTTTTTTTTTTTTTTTTAAGATTTATTTATTTATTTATACAAGCACTGGGTACAGTCAGAAGCGCGGGAGGGTGAGAGAATTCACCAGAGCCAGGGCGGGGACCAGAGCAGGCAGAAGGACCGAAGTACACTGCTGAGGGGAGCAGCGGGCGGCAGGAGAGGTCTGCGCGCCATGTGGGACCCTCCTCCAGTGGCCGGGGAGCAGCCGGGGATCGAACCGGCGCTGCAGAGGCCGCGGGCAGCTTTGCAGCCCAGCGCTCAACCGCTGCACCGCCACGGGAGGCCCTCAGGGTTGTTATTGAAAGATTGAATCAATTAATACTTATAAACACCCAGTACACACCCAAAAAAGTTTAGCTTTCATTCAGTTCTGTAATTTTTCAATATCATTTTTCGATAGTTTCCTTCCCTGTTTTCTGAAATGTCTGTCTTGTGAATGTTGATCTTCCTGAATTGATTCTCTGTCTTTTATGTTTTCTGTCACAGCTTCCATATCTTTGCATTTTTGTTCTATTTTAGAAGAGATCCTCTCTTTATATGCTAAGCCTTCTATTGAGGTTTTATTTTGGTATCATGCCTAAAATTTCCAAGATTATTTTGTTCTTCAGTTGTTTATTTTATTCCTATTTTGTTCCTTTTGAGGAGGAAAGTAAATAATATTTTCTCATGTATTTGAGAACATGAGAAGTTTAAAAACAATTTCCCCTATATCTGACATTGTTACCTATTTATCTTGTTTCTTTTTTTCTTTTTATTTTGGTCTCTTTCTATGGGAGGGGCTTTTGAGGGAGTCTGGGAAATTTCCTCCAATGGTTGTGATACTTAGTTGTCTGTCTTATTCAAGATTATGGCATAAATAAGTTAAGTGAAAACTCTATGATATTTGTGTATTGGGGCGATGGGCAGGTGACACATGGGGGCCTGCTCTTAGGCCTTTCCCTTCTTCTGGGGGGAATGTCTTCTCCTGGCCTGGGGATGGGGTCAGGCCTTCAGTTCGTGTTCAGAGCAGAGGAAGATTCTGGGCTCCAATCCCTCCCTTTGCAGACTTCCAATTACTCCTACTGTTATCAGCCCACTGAATCGCTTCTGTCCTCTGCTGTACCTGGAGTTCCCAAGAAGCATGCCTCTACATTCAGTTTCCGTAGAGAACAATCCTCTGGGCTTCTTGCCCAAGGACACCCAAGGAACAGGGACACTCAGTTTCTACTGTCAAAATACACACCTCCAAACAAACCCTCTCCCTTTGCTTTGGCACTCCTGGCTTCTCTGAACCTAAGCCCCCACACTTCTCTGGCTTGCTTGAAGAACTGTTAGCTCTCCTCCACCCACCTGCTCGTCACCTTCCAGAAACCAGCTGCAGCATTTCCTGTATACCCCACTGCTCTTTCCACCTTTCTGGGTTTATCACATCCTTCCCCTCCCACCACTCCCCTTCATTTTCATTTGACTGTATCTTTAATTGCAAGAATTTGCTGGCCTCTTTGGAAAGGCCAGCCTTCTACCATTTAAAAGGGAACATGATAGAACTATTTACAATTCCAAGCTATGGAAACAACCTAGGTGCTCAGCAAAAGATGAGAGAATGCTCCTAGGTATTCACCCAAAGGACACAGAATCATTAATTCAAAAGGGCACCTGCAGCCTTATATTTATAGCCGCACTATTTACAATAACTAAGCTTTGGAAACAACCCAAATACCCAAAAATAGATGACTGGATCAAGAAGATGTGGTACATATCCACAATGGAATATTACTCAGCAATCAAAAAAATAAACTCATGCAATTTGCAGCAACATGGATGGAGCTGGAAGGGATCATAGCAGGAATTTAGAAAACCTAGTTAAGGGACTGGGAAAAAAGACTAATTATAATGAAGTGAAAATCAAAATCAACAAGCAACTATAAACCAGAGACATACTATGGGGGGGGGGAGGGGAGGAGAAATTAGAGTCAGAATGGGGGGGGTGGGAATTGTATGGGGACTATAACCAAGATGAAAATGCATACATTGTGCAAAAATGAAAAGTGATGTAAAAAATATATAAAATAAAATATTAAAAAAAAAGATGTGTGGATGAAGAAGATGTAGTGTATATGTACAGCAAGCTGGCTGTCTCCACTCAGCTATAAGAAATAGATGCAAAAAAAAAAAAAAGAAATAGATGCATTCTTGCCATTTGGGACAACAAGGATGAAACTGGAGGGGATTATGGTAACCAAAGGATGAAGGAAAAAGACAAATACCAAATAATTTCACTTGTATGTGGAATAGCAAGAAGCAAAATAAAGGAACAGAAACAACTACACCAGAACAAACCTTAGAAATCTGAAGGCAGAAATGAGACTCCCAGAGGGGGAACTTAGAGGTGGAAAGTAGAGAGGGGAGGGGCCAAAGGACTGTGGTGGAGGATTATTGGTGCTTTGGTGGTGGGTGTGGTAACACACATCCGAGCAAGTGTATACCTATACCCCCCCCCCCAAGTGCATACCTCTACCCTTGGTTTAATGCAGTAACATTAAAGCAATGTTACTGCAATAAAAAATGTTACAAAAAAAAGTAAAAAGCAGCTGTAATAGCAGCTGCTGACTCACACACTCATACAAAATAAAATGAAAAGGAACATTATATGTCCTAACACAGCCAATAAACTATTTTTCAGTGCCTGGTCGTCACTCTTGCAGAAACAAGATGAGCTGAAAAACGTTGACGCTTTCTGGAGGGCTCATGGGAACTGCTATTGTGGAATCCAGCATTTCTTCATCATGTTACTGGCTGCTTTTCAAATACAGGGCCTCCAGTTAACTTTGAATTTCAGATAAACAACAGATAGTACTTTTAGTAAAAGTATATCCTGGGCGATATTTCAGGTATACTTATACTAAATGTTTTTGTTATTTTCTGGAAATTTAAATGTAATTGGGTGCCCTGTGTTTTATCTGGCAACTCTATCCAGGTGACTTCACTTACTCTCTGAAGATCTAGGGAGGCCTTGTCAGCAAGACAAAAGGGCTTCCTGGTCACACCATTTCTTTTCTTAAAGGGACCTTCAGCTATTTACATAACATATGGCAGTCTCACACCCGTGCAATTGTAAATTAGAGCAATTGTAAATTAGAGCTTGCTTATTCATTGTCAAGTTTGGAACACGACCATATTTCTCAGCTGTCTTCAGTTCTCCAGCCTCAGATTCAATAAATATATGTGTTGTTCTAATAGTGTTTGTGCCTTTGTGTCGCCTTTGTTAGTTGTCTGCACCCGCCAGGGCCTGGGGCAAGCTAGCTCTGCCACCCCACGGTCACATGGCTCCCCCATCAGCATCTTTGATTTATTGTTAGGCGAGTTTGGAGGTAATTCTTAGCAGCTCTCGGTTTGGTTTTTAAGAACATCACCACGACCTGTTGGTTTCATCATGAGTAGATGCTGGCAGGTGACAGGTGTGCCGAGCAGGATTTCTTAGTGTTGTGTGCCTGAGAACACCAACTTGAACAAAGAACACTTGTCTTAAAGAAAGCTAAATTACGATTGAACCAATTATGTGAAAGGATACAGGAAATGTACATAATGAATACGAACAGCTCAGATAGCAATTCACAAACTAACGTTAACATTTTTATCGAGTCTCTGTGGCGTCATCCTTTTTTTTTAGGTCATTTCCTTAAAGATAGTCTTCTTTTCAAGTTATAAGCCTGTCCGTGTTATTTCATTCCTGACTCACTGTCAAGAATCCTCCCTGTTGCGTTCCTGAGGAGATCCAAGGGGTCAGCTATTAACAGAGCCCAGCTAAATATATCCTTCCCGGAGCCTCCAGTCTGCTCCAGAGGCAGCCTATTCCGGTGGCTGGGGCTGCTTTCCTTATAGTCTTCCTGCAACGCAGCAGGGCAGCCTCGTTGGAGGCCTCAGGCCTCAGCCTCAGAGGTTGATGAATGGCCCTCTCTCTGAAAGGCCCTGTCTGTGGGCTTGCCAGGACTGGCCCACCTGCTGCATGGGACAGCGTCACCTGCACACACAGTTACACAGAGACTGTCTATGCTGTAAAATATAAAGTACATCCCTAACCTAGCAGCAAAGACTCACACTAAAGGAGGGTTTCTCTATATGGGATTTGTGGGGTTCATCAGGGGATGAGGCTTTAGCTTTACTTTTTCCCTCATGAGAAGAAGTGACACCCCTGGAGTTGTTAACCTTTAATAAGAGAACACCAGTTAGTAGAAAGCAGAAAGGCATTTAATTTGGGGAGGGGAGAGAACAGCATTTCAGGGAGCACAGGTTCAGATTTAGAAACCCAAAACGTGTCCTAAGAAGGGAGTCAGGTGAGGGGCCTCTGTAGAGGGGGAGAGAGGATGAGGTAATGAAGAATGAAGTAATGGTCAGATGAAGGTAAAGATGGTCAGATGGGGGATCACAAAGTAAAAGTAGGCAAAAGTTCTCTTCATCAGTCTTTTCAAACAGCATATTCTCATTCTTGTTGGCTTCTTAGTGGTTTGGTCCAATCCAAGTGTCAGATCTAGTTTAAAGAGGACAGTAAAGTCACTTTTCTCTGCAGCAGCTTTCTGTGACCCTAATTTGATATGGCTTCAGAGATACCATTTTTCAGAGCTAGAGAGTCTGAAAGGGGAAGTTGTATTTTTCTTTTGGTTTTCTTGGGGCTAAGGAGATTTTCCCAGGTGGGTCTGGGAATTTCCGTGCTGAATCCAGGACAGTACTGGGTAAATCAGGAGGTTGGTCATCTCTGTCACCTTCTCCCAGCCCCACTATCATTCAAATTCTCTTCCCATTCTTTCTCACTCTGGATGAGAGTAAGAGAGAAGGTCAATGCCCAAAACTAAGCTTTGAAGGTTTTGTCAAATACAATTCAGAGTTGGGGATTTTACATAAAATCTATAGAAAGAGGGGTCAATAATTTTCTTTGAATGTATTTGTGAGAAAAAAGAAGAGGTTGAAGGGAAAGGTACAGCTTCTTCTCATTTGTAAAACCCTTCTAAAGAACAATTTAAAATGTTAGTTTTTGGATCCCTTGCATTTTGCTATTTCAGTAAATGTTTCTAATAAGAAGAAATAGAAAAAATTGTGATTGTGAATCTGTAGAGTTTGAACTAGAACCATAATCCATAATTTTAGCAAATGCTCCACCTAACCTTTCAGACTTCACCACCTATGGCACTCTACCTCCACCTGGTGGCAGTGTACATAAATTAAGTCTTGACCACCGTTGGCACTCACCCATTTTTTTGTGTGTGCTGAGAGCCTCCCTCTTGGGCATGGAATTTCAAAAACAAAATTATAAAGATACCAATTTGCTTGATGTAATACTGTTGTTCTTATTTGAAATACAGGGCCAATTTGGAGCAAAGATTATATCCTTATATTTGCTTTATACCCCATCTTGTGAAATACTCTGACTCCATGAGCCTGATGAAATAATCAATTACTTTAACCTCTTAAAGAATATAAGAATATTCTGAGAAGACACCATGAAGTGCATAATGTGAGAAAATATAAGTATATAGAACTTATTAGATTATAATAATCAAATAAAACTTGTGAGAAATTTATTAATCAGACATTGTTCATGATCTCCATTATCACATTGAGTTTCGCAGTTATTAGTTCCCACTGGGTGATTTAATTGGGATTGCTTTTACACAGGTATATCTTTTTTTCCTTCATACATTTTTTTTCTCTAAGTAATTCTTTAGCATCTGAAATTACTAAGGTTTGTGGGTTATTTTATCATCAACATAATTTGTGGTAGCAGAAAACACAAACCTCACTTTGGGAGTGCTTTTTCTGGGGAAGGGTTTCTAGATTTGTAAAAATTGATATCATAATTGTCTATGTATCAAGTTGGTGTAAGAGTGAAATGTTCTCTGTGTGTGTGTGAAAGGTGTGTGTGTGTGTGTTTGTGTGTGTGTGTGTGTGTGTGTGAGAGAGAGAGAGAGAGAGAGAAAGAGAGAGAACCCTCTTGAGCAAGCAGGAGCACAGAGAGAGCTCTGTTATCCAGATGTTAGTCTCAGGGACATTATTACTAGCAAATTGAAGACAAACTTTGCAGATCTCATTTCTTATTTTCTAGCCTCTGGCTGCCTTCTGTCTTCTATTTAGCTGGCTCCCAGGACTGAGTTTCCCTGAAATATACCCAGGAATTCTAATTCCCTCTCGGTTTGCTGGCACTCACTTCTGCCAGGACCTGTCGCAAGCCCCTCATCCTCACTCCCCACGCCCATAGCTTGCTCCTTCCCCCACACCAGATGAAAAACACCAGCCCTGAAGGGCACAGGACTTAGACTGGCTGTGGGGCTCTGTGGGGTGGGGAGGGCCATGGTGAGTGTGGCTGGAACCAGAGCCTGTTACTAGGCCTGTTGCCGCGGAAGGACTAGGTAGAGTTAAGGGAAGTGGGGTAAGCATGGGTGGGGTTGGGGGGTTGATAGGAAGATGAAGAGGGGTGGCCCACCCCTATTCACCCTCCACCTACGTCCTCTGATATAAGTAAAATAATTTTACCTCAGGTCCGTTCTTAAGAACAATCTAATTCCAAGGTAAGAAGTCCCTCTTCCTTTATCTCCCCAACCCCAACTCTGTCCTCACACAAAAAAGGGGGTGCATACAAACTTCGTTGTTACTATCTCTCCTATCTACTTGCTTGACTGCTCTTCCTTCAATAAGAGCCAAAGCCATCACTCTACTGAACTAAATAAAGACGTGAAGAGTGTTCTGGGAACCCAGGGGGACCTCAGAGAGTCCACGTTGCGGGGGGAGGAGCAGCACTGGGGAGAAGAGTGTGGTGAGTTGCACAGAGCCCCAAGAAAGCAGTTTAGTCCATGGGAAAGGAGTGTGAGAAAGCCTGGTCCTTCCCAAGAAAGGCAAATGCTGTCCTGTCACCCAGGCCTCAGCTATTCCTCTCCTGAGCCGGGCCAGGGCCTACTGCCTCAACCTAAGCGGACCCTCTGCACAGAGGCACAGGCAGCTGCCTTGGTTTTGCAGAGTTTGCCCAGCTGGTGCAGAATCCTGTGGTATGTATTTTTGGAAAACCACTTTGACGCCACACTTCATCTTACTAACCTAATTTTATTTTTGTCTTCATTTTGATTTCTTCCTAAAATGGAAAAAACCCATTTCAGATCTTTTGGAAAGGCGGTGAGGAGCCCAGCGTTTTGGCCGTTTTCATCAGCATTCGATTCCCTTCTGTTTACAGGCTCCTCTCCAGCTCTCCTCTGTCAAATGCAACAAGTGAGGGTTTTCCTCTTCTAATGCCATGTAGTTTCTGAGGAACATCGTTGCTGGAAGGTTGCCTCCCAGGTAATGGAGGCGCTCTGACCGTAGTGGAGCTGGAACAGTGGCTGAGCTTCTTCCAGAAAAAGGGAAAAAGCAAGTGTTGCCATCTGTAGATATTCCTCCAGCTGCGGACACCAGGCTGTTTTCGGGGCAGGTTTGAATCCTTCCAAAACAAAATGCCAGACGGCCCTCCGGCCTGCAGTCTAAGGCCAGACCCCCTGAGGGCCTGCAGGGCCGTGGGACACGTTCAGAGACTGGTCACATTCAGAGACATGTTTGTCCATTCCTGGGAGCGCACGCCATGCCCAAACCTCACTTCTTTTTTTTTTTTTTTTTGGTAAGATTTATTTATTTATTTATATATACACTGGGTACAGTCAGAAGCGCGGGAGGGTGAGAGAATTCACCAGAGCCAGAGCGGGGAGCAGAGCAGGCAGAAGGACCGAAGTACACTGCTGAGGGGAGCAGCGGGCGGCAGGAGAGGTCTGCGCGCCATGTGGGACCCTCCTCCGGTGGCCGGGGAGCAGCCGGGGATCGAACCAGCGCCACAGAGGCTGCGGGCAGCTTCGCAACCCAGCGCTCAACTGCTGCGCCACCGGGGAGGCCCCCAAACCTCACTTCTGACATGATAGAAGACACCCACTGGGGGGCCCCCGTGTGTTTGCAGACTCTGCAAGCTGCATCTGGGGTGGACCCAAAGGAGACAAAGCACCGGTCCCATCTCTAGTGTGGCCGGCGGAAACATTTCTAAGACACGGTTTGTCTATTTCTAAGACACGGTTTGTCTCCAGAAACTACTTCACATGTAGTTTATTCATATAAGCCTTTTTGCGTGTGTGAAACCATAACTGGTGATACTGTCTGCTGTCTCATGTAACACCTTTCATATAAATCCAAATGGAAATCTTTTGCATGAGCTTATTGCCGGAAAACATTTGTCTCGATAAAATCCTGACGTGAAAAGGAAAATTAAAACTGTATAATCTATCACATTTTTTCCTCCAAATCTTGGTTTCAGCAGCTTAAAGTAGAAGTCATTGTCTAAATATCCTCACCTGCTCAATTCAGTAGCGGGGACATTTTCTTTCAGTTATTAAAAAAAATTACATTAGGGCCTCCCCTGGTGGCGCAGCGGTTGAGCGCTGGGCTGCGAAGTCTCTGCAGCACTGGTTCGGTCCCCTGCCACCAGCGAGGGGCCCACATGGCGCGCAGATCTCTCCTGCCGTGCCGGCTGCTCCCCTCAGCAGTGTACTTCGGTCCTTCTGCCTGCTCTGCTCCCTGCTCTGGCTCTGGTGAATTCTCTCACCCTCCCGTGCTTCTGACTGTACCCAGTGCTTGTATAAATGAATAAATAAATCTTTAAAAAAAATTACATTATTTCTCTGTCTGTCCATCTGTTCCTCCATCCACCTATCCATCTGAGTTTTAATCTGTTAAGGGACCCAAGACCTTGGCAAAAGCAGGGATGCAGGTAAAAACTATATTTGAAACTAATTCCTCCTGCGGGGAAAGAAAAGTCCATTTCAAAATTATAGTAATTTCTTCACAGTTAGATTCAGGCAAGATTTTTCAAATCTTGGATGGTGAAGTGAGGAGACCCAGAAATGCAGAGTGGGCTCATTTTCCATTTCTTTCAATAGGAGAGTTGCCCTAGGTGAGTGGGGTGACTCAGGTTGAGGCCCAGCCACAGAGGGCATGTCTGGGGGGCAGGGTGCTGGCAGCTACCACCTGAGGGATGTTTCTGTGGCAAAACCTTGGCTGTCATCGTGCTGCCTTGGTTGCAGCCCACAACCTGGGGCTGGCCTGTCTTTTGCTGCTGGCCAATTCTGTGAGCTTCCTGTTATTTTGCTTATAGACTCCCTTTCTGCTTAACTTAATCACATTGTTTCTATTGCTAACAACCAAGAACTCTGACTCATATGCTCAGCAAATTAATTAGTTCCCTGATTCACTTACTCAATCAACATTCCCTAAGCAAAACACCTGTGTGAGGTAGGTGTTGTATTTCCTCATTTTATGCATGTAGAAATTGGCGCTCATAGAATTTAAGTTTTCAAAGTTAATATTACTATCCAGTGTTTGGTGTTTTAAAGTGGCGTTTTCTGTTTCTTTAAGATCTGCAGTAGTCAACATTTCATCTCAAATCTCAGAGGATTTTGAGGTATCATCATTGGGAAAATGCTCAAACTCAAGACCCCAGCACTGAGCGTCCCAGCTGGAGTTACATCCTTGTCCGGGGGCTGCAGAACCACAGTATGGTGAGGCTTAGATGGAGCCACGTTTGAACAGGCCTTCTGAGAGACTAAATATGGGGCTGGAGGCAGAGGGGCGGGAGAGTTGGAGTCAGAAGATTGACTGTCTTAACTCATATGCCATCATTTCTGCAAATTACTCCACCTAGGCGCCGAACAGAGGAAAGATTTTGCAAATAAATCCCATTAAAACAAGGGTCTCCTTCCTCTGGTATTGAAGGCTAAACTCAATATTTTATCCTTTTAGGAAAGGAAAGAGAAAGCAGTACCAATGGTTTGTAAAGGAAAAAGCCTCCACTTTTCAAAGCCCAGGGCAGGTTATTGTAGATTCATGATTGTTTGATGAAACTGACTTGTAGACAACCATTTTCAGGCCATTCTGCGAACTCAAAGGTCACTGTTATGTAGGGCACAGATAACACAAACTCTCCCACGTTTTTGAAGTCTTTCAAATAATATTTAGCAAAGGCAGACCCTGTGCTCCCCCACTGTATTTACAGTGGTTTGCAGGGTCACAGGTTAAATAGGGGAGACAGGGCATTCTGTTCTGTGGGAAGCCCTTCAGGAGGAGAGACCACAGCCTATTTGGGCATCACAGGAATTGGTGGGTGAAGAGCAGGCATGGAGGAGATGATCTCCAGTCACAAATTGCATTTTCAGCAACCCACATATAGTCTGGAACCTGGTAGAAATTTGTAATCTGACTCCCCTCTCTGACTGTTGTTTAGTTTTCTTTTTCCCTCTTAATTTAGTTTAATTTTTTAAAATTAAGGTCATATTGGGATACACCCATCAAGTATTAAAAATTTAACAAACACTTTAGGAATTTGCTTTTCATCCTTGCGCAGGGGCCATGTTCATCTCTGTATCATCCCAACTTCAGTATCCTTGCTGCTGAAGCCAGCGCTATTGTGTAGTTTTCAAAATGTGTTATTTTCTAATTCTACATTGCTTTTGCACTACAATTATTGCCACTTATCATCATCTTTGCGAGAGGCAATCTAGCATTCTCCAGCAACAATTATGTCATTTTCAGTTCACACTGTGGAAAAGGTGAAGGTAAAAGCAGCCTCAGAGATTAAGATATGTAGGGACTCAGACGCCATCAAATCTCTTTAGATCATTTTGTGTTGACCTTATGTCTTCCTAGTACAGATAAATGCTCTCCACTCAACTGGGGTGTGTCTACCAGTGGCTTCTAGGATCCTATCTTGGAAAATAAGAAAAGATCAATTCATTTAATTTTAATTTTTACAGTTGCCCAAAAAGATTCTAACAGAAATGAACCAGATCTTGTGTTCATGCCTAGACCAGCCATAGTGGCTGAAGTATCCACAAATGAAAATATAGTCATTCTTATTTGGATCACATATTACAGTGTGAAAAGGGATGGAGGAAAAATTGCTACCCAAAAGAAGGGGATATTTTTCTCAGAGGAAGCATATTCTGTTCTATCACATAAAGAAACAGGAGCTAGAGCCAGCATTTTTCTAAGAATATAAATTCTCTGAGAGTTTTCAGGAATCTTGTAGAAAGCTTTGGATTGCCACAGAGCATGGAATGGGTATTCATGTCCACATTATCCAGACCACAGTGGGTCCAGAGATCTTAGCTGATATCGGGATTACATTTGTTTTAAATAAAACAAAAATAAAGTATTATCTTCAAAGGCACGTTACTCGAGAGATGGAAATGTTTGGCCCAGAAACTTTGAATAGTGACACCAGAGTTCTTAATAGTTAAGTACATCGGTAAGGAAGTGAAAGGTGGTACATACAGTACATTGGAGCAGGTTGATTGTCAGAAGATTCCGTGTCTAGTTTTGATTCTCCGTATAGCTGGATGTCTCAGGTTGGGTTTCCCAGGAGGCAGACCTTGAGAGGAAGATCCGTGGGTAGGAGGTTAACTAGCTCATGCCCTTGGGACTAGCCCCTGGGGAGGAGGGCGGCAGGGCTGCACAGAGGGAGAGGTTGGGCTCAGATGTAGTCACAACAAGGGCTCAGCCAACCCCACGGGGTTTCTGGAGCTGGAGTGGCGCTCTGGAGTTGTCCTGAGCTGGGACAAGGGGACTGGACTTCATAGCCCCACCTTAGCATGTGTTTGGATGCAGGATGTAGGAGAGGAGAGGGATGTTTGTGGAGGCAGCTCTTTCCAGCCCACGGTCGTCCTGGTCGAGAGCACCTGGAGAAGCTCGCGGTAGGCAGCATTTCTAGAGCTAGGATCAGTTCTCAGCCCTGAAGGGTAACTGCCCAGCATCTACCAGCTGGGGAAAGTCACCTCACCCCTCTGAGTCTATTGCCACAACTATAAAGTGGAGACATTGTCTCTCTTGATCTCTAAGTCAGTTTCCAAAGTCTTCCAAAGTGTCCAAAGTCTTCCATTATAGTGCCAGACACTTAGTGTTATTTGTTTCTGAAGTCTTTTTTCATTAATATGCCTTTGAAAATACCTGGTGACACAGGAGAAAGGAAGAAAAAGAATGAGTAAGCTCATTATGAGTGGATTTGGAGTAACTTTTAGGATATATTGTTAAGTGAAAGAAGCAAGGTACAAAAGGTATATAGTAGGATATTCTTCACTCAGAAGGAAGGGAGAAGTGTGTGTGTGTGTGTGTGTGTGTGTGTGTGTGTGTTGTAAAAAGAAATACAGGAATCGGGCCTCCCTGGTGGCACAAGGGGTTAACTCACAGCACTATGAAGCTATCCACAGCCCCTGCAGCACGAGTTCAATCCGTGGCCAGGAGCTGACCCACATGGTGCAGCAGACCTCTCCTGCCTCACCCCCTGCTCCCCTCAGCAGTGTATTTCAGTGAGTCTGCCTGTTCTGTTCTCTACTCTGTCTCTGGTGAATCCTCTCAACCCTGCACCTCTGGCCTGCACCCCTGCTCTTGTATGCATAAATAAATAAATCTTTAAAGAAAAAGGAACACAGGAAGGATAAAGCAGAAATTAATGAAACCTGTAAGGGAGAGAGGTAAAACTGGGGTGGAGGGAAAAAACATAGGAAGCATGTGAATGACTTTTATATTTAAGTATATAAGAAAAATTAAATTAATGAAAAGGGGTTCCAAACTTAAAATCAGTGATAAAAAAGAAACAAACAAATCTAGTTATATAGTAGGTAATACTGATAAAACAACCACTCAGAGAAAAGAATGGACTCAAGTAAATTTTGAATATCAGGACTCTGGATGACCAATCCTTAGTGGGATATACTATAAGGTCAAAAAGAATTCAATAGACTCTGAAGCATAGTATGTTTATTGGTTATTAGTAATGTAAACATTATAATTTTTATTTTTTAAAAGATTTATTTATTTATACAAGAACCGTGGGACAGGCCAGATATGCGGGAGATTGAGAGGATTCACCAGAGACAGAGCAGGGAGCAGAACAGGCAGACTCACTGAAATACACTGCTAAGGGGAGCAGCAGGTGAGACAGGAGCAGTCTGCCATGCCATGTGGGTTGCTCCGCAGCCGCAAGGACTGAACCGGCACTACAGAGGCTGCGGACAGCTTCACAGCACTGCGCTCAACCGCCTATGCCTCCAGGGAGGCCTACATTATAATTTTTAAACCATACATAAATATTGTAGGATAAAGCAAATGATTGGATATAGTTATTAGTAATCAAGATTTTATGTAAGTGAAAAGATGAAGATAAAAAAATAAAATAACTTAAACATTAAATTTGAATATATGAATTCTGGAATATAAATTCAAATTTATATAGGTTATATATTATATATAGCTCTATATAGTCTTTATGTAGAATATATATATATATTCTAGTTTGCCCACTGAAAAGACAAGAATGACAGCTAGTTGCAATGAGCAGATTCATTGCCCAGATTTTGATGTGAATATCCATTAAAAAGGAATAGGATTCCTTGGAAAACGGCTGATTTAGGAAAAACAAAATAAAATGAGTCAGAAATATTTTATATTGCTAGATACCAAGGAAGAACTGAAAAACCAATGTGTTCTTATGAAAGGGATACGGGATCCATCTGAAATAACAAGTAATTCATGAGCCCATAGTAATATGAAGAGGGGGAATGAAGGAGGTTGGAGAGACAGCATGAAGGGATGGAGAGAGAAAGAGGCTGGGCGACACACAAAGAGAGAAAAGAAGCAAGTTTAGCTTTGTATAAGAATGCTAGCTTTCTCTCTGTATCTGCTTATGATACTGTGATTATAAAGAAAAATATTCTTCTTGTTAGAGATGCACGGCAAACAATTTAGTGAGGAAAGGTCATCAACTGAACTTCAGTGATTTGATTATATAGATACATATTTATTTAATTATATATATTTCCTCTTGTATTTTCCTGTAGGTGTATAAATAGATAAAATAGCAACAAAGAAAGATAAAATAAATGGAGTGAATGTAAACAACTGATGGGTCCATCTTTTTCATTTTCCACAAACTCAAAATTTTTCAAAGTAAAAGTTGGGGGAAATTCATGGTTATATAATATAAGACCTCAGACTTTTGTTTTCTAACTCTTTCATTTTGTAATTGGCAAAATCAAAATGAAAGGAGGTTGTTTGTCCAAGTCCACAGAGCTAGCAAACCAGAGAGTTCAGCCTCTGGCTCTCTGCTCTCTCTCATGAAAATCAACCTCACTTTTTTTTTTGACATGCAAAATTGTTTTTAATCTCTTCTAGTATTGTGCTGGCTTTTCCACATCAGGGCACAGGAGAGGCTTCCACAAGGGTCCTCTCTCTCTCTCTCTCTCTCTCTCTCTTTCTCTCTCTCTTTTTAAAGATTTATTTATGCATACAAGAGCTGGGGCACAGGCCAGAGGTGCAGGGGGTGAGAGGATTCACCAGAGACAGAGTGGGGAACAGAACAGGCAGACTGACTGAAATACACTGTTGAGGGGAGCAGCGAGCGAGTCAGGAGAGGTCTGCCGCACCATGTGGGTAGCTCCCTGGCCAACTGGGGATCAAATTCGTGCTGTAGAGGCTGCGGACAGCTTCACAGGCTGTGTCTTAACACTCTTGCCTATGGGCTCGGGGTTCCTCCTGCTCATTAAACCTGAGCATCCAGACCACTGGGAGCCCGGTTACGAACAGCCCCTACTCAGTTCCCATCACATTGACCAGCTTCCTTGTCTGCTTGAGACTTTAACTTGGTGCTACTCTCTCTGAACAGGCTGCAACATGTTTCTTAATAGTCTCTGGTTGATTTCTAAAAAGCTTATTTGCATTATTGAAACAAATAACAGGACAAAGTCAACACAGTCCTATCTTGGCTATGCTAATTAGAAACCTCAATTTTAAACAAAAGCCTGCACTGTACTCAGAGCAGTTATCTTCCCCAAGGGGTAGCCTGAAACATCACCCTATGAGTCAAACAGGTGCCCAAAAACATGTTGCAAGATAGGGAAACAAAGATATTTCTCAATCATTCCTTCTCCTAAAGGAAGGGTGATGGTTGTGGAGCTACCCCATGGAAATCAAGCATAAGCCACGGGGCTTAGTCTGCACAGGCAGAAAAATGCAAACAGTCAAGGGTCTTGAAGAAGTTTGGATAGAACTGTTCTAGAGTGGGCACTCCCCAGCCCTGCTTTCTTTCACTTTCATTTAACACTGCATTTTCTCTTTCCTATTCTGATGTGCCTACAGTTCATTTTTTTGTCAGTGACTGGAACAAAAATGATTTTTATTCTCAATATGCACTGAAAGTTTGGTATAAAAAATTCTAGACACTCAACCCCTTCCCCCCACCTAGCTGTTGCTTACAATGGACCTCTTTTCAATGAATATCTAATGAAGGTAGCTGTTAAATAAAAATGAATGTTATATATAAAATTGTGAAATGGTATTTTCTACCTTGTAAAGAAAAAATATATCAGTGTGGAATGTATAATTTATAGTCAAGCTGGAAGACTGT